TCCAAAGGTATGATATATTCCAAAGAAAATCAGACATACTCAATATCATATGTAAATCATATCATACTTCAGACAAACATAATCTAGAAGATATACTCTCAAAATATACGTAAAGTTTTAACACTTGAGTACATAACCATAACATCAAGAAACTAATTTCACGACATACCTTACTATTCGATGAACTTCCTCGCCCTGAAAGAAACATTTGTTGCATTTCRAGAAGTTTCCTGTTAAACTCCTGGCTTTGAGCCTCCATGCTTTTTGTATTTGTTCTTGAGTGGCAATTTGTTTGTCTTCTTTTGCTTTTCGTTGAGTTGCCAATTCTTCCTCATGCTTCTAAAAACGAGCCTCTAATGACTCCACATATTCATCAGAGTATTTTGATGATGATCCTTTTTTTTCTRGTGGGGTTCGGTCCATATCCCATTCCTATTATATAGTTCGATCTTCTCCCAAGGACCGTCTCCATGATTTCTTCTTTTGTTTTTTCGTCTCCTTGAGAAGCACGATACGCCTTTAAGGAAATCATTTCTTCCTAACAAAAATAAATGTGTCGTTAAGTGCTTTAAGATATATATATCTTACATCAATACTTTAAGTATGACAAAATTAAACGAATACTTACATATGAATTCCTCGCTTCCTTGTTAATCCAACATTTTTCCTCCAAATAATGCATATTGAAGAATATATGAATGAGACTTAAATATGTCCCATCTTCTTTTCTCTATTAAAAAAAATTGTTAAGTTGTAGTAAAAATAGTAAGAACCTAAAATCTAAAGTAGCAATACAATTCAAATAAATTAGTTGGTTCATACCGAATCTTCTCGATGACACTGAAATGGTTTTGGTCCACCTCGATGATTGAACCTCAATTTACTATGTGYCATCTTATTTCTGGCAGATTTTTCCTACAAAATTACATGTTTAGTTAAGAAACGATACTTATAAAATGATAACAAAGATTAAGATCATATATTAGTTACCTTCCATGCAGGAGATTCCCATCTATCACACARTATGTTCTAGTCTTCTTGTTTTATGTCTTTATACTGCTTTTCGCGAGGACGTGCTGGATCACGTGACTTTTTGTAATGACGATGTAGTTTCGCTCGATAATCTTTGAATTGAGTTCCAATCTCGTATAAAATATATATATGCACATGCGGCTGAGGTATATCGACAACAAACTTCTCCTACAAAACGTAGTCATTAAAACCAGTTAACAACATATTCAATTATTAGTGGTCAACAAATACAACATAAGAAAAAATAGTTACTAGTAACATCTGAATGATTTTATTAGTCTCTAAGACCATTATCTCCTTTTTCTTTGCATGCTTCGCATCAATATAGTTGCGTGCCAAATAGCCTATCTCGCTGTTAAACGAAGCTGACCCAGGTCCAACTGGTCTACCCTGTTGCTCCGTCCATTCGAGCTTGATTTTTTCAACTCGATTTACGACTCGTAACAAGAATTCGCCACGAGTTTCCCTTCGAGCTCATGTAATTTCAGCAATGGTATCCTCACCTTCGCTGTCTGATGACATTCTGTCTACATAATGAAAATAAGAAAACAGAACACAAGTTGTTAGGATTAGTCCGAAATAAAAATTATAAACTGACAAAACATATAATATACCATATTGAATTACTCATCAATGTTAGAGTCATCATCCATTTCATCCGACGATGTTGTTTCATCATATTCATCTTCGTCCTCATCCTCGTCCTCGTCCTCGTCCTCATCCTCTATTTCGTCTTGTACTTCATTAAAATTTAATACTATCTCAATTGTACCAGTATTGTCATATACTATACTTGGATCTATGTCTGGTCTATGAAATGTTTGTGTCTCGAGATCCACTTCATCCACTGCACATTGATTGATATCGGCTTCSACTAAATCAATCCCTTCTACATCAGGCACATCCCATAAATGTCTGTGTTGAATTCTTTGAGCTACTTTCCATCCATTACCTAATTGGAGATCATCAACATAAAATATTTGTTGTGCTTGAGAAACAAGTACAAACGGATCATCCTTATACCATAAGTGACGCGTGTTTATGCTTGTAAAGTTATTATTTTTTGACGAACATGATTCTTCTTAGAATTTGTATTATGTTAAACAAACTTGAGAACTCACTTTTTTTTAAACCATTCTGGAAATAAGATCTCTTGAAGCCTCGTGAGATTACCACTACTTCCATGTTGAAGCTCCATTTCGTGCTCTCTACCCAATGATCGAACAATGAATAGATGTTTGAAGTAGGAATAATTTTCTAAATATATATATAAAAAATCATACTATTTGTATTCATCGACTGCTTCGCAATTGGTTAAGACATACCAGTGGGCTTTTTGTAACTCAGTATGCGAAAGTTGTTTCATTTTTGAACCATCGATTGGACGTGCATTTTATGAAAACACAGACAGACATCCTTTATTTGTTTCATTCAAGTCTCGCTGATCATCATTCCGAACTGGCCTATTGAACTTTGTTTCAATTCCACTTAGGTACATCGAGCATAACGTTAACGATTCATTTGCAATGRATGCTTCTGCTATAGATCCTTCAGGGCGCGCTTTATTTCTTACGTATTGTTTCAATGTCATCAATCTCCTATGAACAAGTGTTATTATGACCAAATAAATAAATATATTGAAAACTAGACATGAAGGCACTAACATATCATACCTTTCTATTGGAACATCCAACTATAACCGACAGGTCCAACAAGTTTGGCTTCTTCTGGTAAGTGAACAGCTAGATGAACCATGACATCAAAGAATACTGGAGGGAATATTATCTTTAATTTACATAAAATCAATACGATTGCTTCTTGTAGCTTATTCAAAGTCTYGACTTTTAAAGTCTTTGCAGTAAGATCCTTGAAAAAATCTGACAATTCTGCAATTGACGAACTCACATCTTTGGGCAAGAAAGGACGAACCCCCACTGGTAAAAGTCTTTGCAACAAGACGTGTGAGTCGTGACTTTTGAGTCCAGATATCTGTCCATCTTTACCACTAACACATCTCGATATGTTTGATGCA